ATGATGAGAAAGGACTAGAAGACATTATAAGGACAGACACCAAAATTTTAGGGTTTTTGGCTCTCCTTCTCACTACACCATGAAAAATTGGCCCAAAATGCAACGACTGTTCTATGAATGATTCGACGCACCTTCTCCCGTATTAGTCTTAAGGATTTCCAGCTAGTCTATGAGACCTACGCCAACAAAGTTTTTTAATCAGGACGTACGAACGACACCGCCCTCATTAAGCGTGTCCAGCGAGGTGCTACAAAACTGGTTGCGGGCCTCAAATCTGTGGACTAGGAGATGTGCCTTCCGCTGCTCGACTTTAGTCTTCTGGAGTATCGTCGCCTCCCAGGTGACTTATTCTTGCTTTGCCCTATTTGATCAAGGCTTGGCAAACAGCTTTTTCATCCTAGACCCAGCAAACATACGGTGGGTACATGGTAGGAAGATCTTCAAGCTCAGAGAATACACATTCATCAAACAAAATCAGACACGATTTGGTGATAAGCTAGGAAGGACAAGGATAATAAAGAGTGTGAAAAATCACTGAGATTTAATCTTTATGGGGTGTTGGTTAACAAAAATATTAGGAGGATAATGAGCGGATGTATCTGTTGCACCACATGAAAAGAGTCCACGCATGTGCGTATTTGATTAAACTGTAAAGACACCACACACTAAAAGACTCTTCACTGACTGGGCGGATTACCAGTTGCTTCTGCTGTCCACAAAATTCTAAGGATGCTGACAAACATCTCGGTTTTCACAAAATTATTCAGAAGTACGATTCCGAACGTTCTTATTCGCCTTACTTGGAACGCACCAGTGCTGGTGCATCTTGTGAGTTAGTGTGGAATCATGTAGTGTCTGAAGTATGCAATGCGGCCGGAAAATATGACGTGCATCAACAGGACTGGTAATTGAACGTTGCACGCAACCATTCCTCTGAACCGTGCGGCAGTACTGAAAGAAATGCTGTTAAAGAAGATCCACGCCAACACTGAAAAGAAATGCGCGGTTTGCCCGTAGGGCGGTATTGTCGACCCAAACGTACTGGGTATGCGAGGGCATTATTATCGAAAAAGTGCATTACAAAGCAAGCTGCATAGTAGAGTGGTTGAATACAGGTACCAATGTTTTCCACTCTGACTGAGATCCCAAGTAAACTGGAAGACAGATGTGCCCAACGCCGAGCCAAAGCCGTAGTTCCCTTAGTAGGAGGCTCTGGTAAATCAACGCGGAGGTCACTTTCATTGAGATAGAAAGTGGAAATTGAGGGCGCTGGACGAGATATTTTGTCAATTCGTCATGATTCGCAAGCCACCGCACATAATAGGCATCCATTAAAGTGCATTTACTCGTTGAAGATCTTTAGTAAAGCAGTTTACAGATGACCATCTCCGAAAATCAATTCGTCAGGCAAATTCTAAGCTTGCAATCACGCCGCAAGAAATTGCTCCACCCTCACAATATACTACCGCTACAGGCGACCGAATCATATGGGCCTTGGAACACTGAAGATGACGTTCTCTGGTAGGAGGTCAGCTTTGTGCAAGACGCTTACGTTCTTGGTCCTGTTGTCGGCACACATTGGCCGGGTGTTGCCCAGTCTACTGGAGAACAGATCATGATTTTCTCTCCGAAATCCTCCGAGTGGGTTTATGAGAACCTTCGCTGCTTTTGCCGCACATGCACTATACAGCCAAAAAAATTGTGAAACAACTCTTCCGCCGTTTAATCTTTGTACATAGCTAACACCGTTCAGTTTTTCGAATATTGTGCCCATTCGAAATTGGTTGCGTGAAAATTTCCCTAATATTGCACATTATTTCCTTGGTGCACCTACCTTCAGTAACGATCTCTACAACTAGCGGTGATATAAAACACATTTGGTCCAGACGGATATCCACTGAATTTAGGGCGGGGAGTGCAAATCATGCCTGTCAGACCTGGGGGCATTTTCAATGTGCGGATTTTCAGGACGACTAGATAGCCTGAGTATCTTACTCTCCTGATCAGTTTTTCTGCGTCAGCTGATTATACGTTAGAACTGCTACTACAACTATCAATGAAACTGTCATAAAAGAAACCAAGCTGTTAATTACGTGACGTAATTACTTGTTTCCCTATTCCTCAGGCTAGTTCACCACCTTTCCGTGACTGCTCAAGTTTCAAAACTAAACCAATCTGGTTTATACAAGACTGACTCTATCTCAGATTTGTTTACATTTATTTCTGGATTTGAAATTTTGTCCCACGTTGAACTGAACAACAATTTTCCCGCTTAATTTGTCCGATGGCGCGCTGCCCTTCGTGTGTCATACTGTGCTGCTAACTGCCCAAGGTTCAATCTAGCCGTAAGCCTTTCTTTAATTCTCCTCACGATTTAGTGTTAATTTCCCATAGAACCACGGTCTACCTGTCTGTTCTATCTGCCCAAGTCCAATTCAATATATTGTTCACTGCACAATTGCGACTACTGAACAAACGCCGGTGAAATTCGTAGAATTCGCTTTCGCCGCAATTACTACTGACCCTCCGTTGGTGAATTAGACTACACGTTACCTGTCAGATAGGACACCTAGATCGTGCGTTTAGGCTAAGTAACCTAGTCCTTGTTTTGAGATCACGGCCCTAGCACAGGATCGCACACATGTCTTTACCAAGTCTTTAATATAGGCGTTCTTTGGAGATATCAAAATGCCCGAATACGAACCGATTCACGGAAAATGGCTAAACAAAATGGGGAGCAAGCGAACATTTCGGCTTCTATTCACCCTTTCCTCGCCGATTTCCGTGCACAGGAACTTGAATCGAACTATCAGCATTCAAAAACATGGTGGAAGATCAAACAAATGTACAAGAGTCGCCCTGTATGGGCACAAGAACCTAGGCATAGCAGTACTATAGATTGGGGGCGAAACAAGCTTCCAATTAGTGACAGATCAGGGACTCCGAACTTCTGGCCAACCAAACATTAATTACGTGCCCTTGTACTCTCAGAAGGACACCGACGTAAGCGGCAACAACCGACGCAACATATATCCACACCTACGAGTAACAGTCATCGAAATGTTTATCAGGATGGCCGAAAGTACATCCTTAAAAGGCAAAAAGCTCACATAAACACTGATATAAAAAAGAGCAGTTCTCGGAACCAACAAGGCAAAAATCAGGAAAGTACGCCACAATGGGATCTTCGAAGCCTTGGATTCATACTAGCTATTAGATCTGCCAACCTATTCGGCAGCATAACTCTCGGATCCTTATCTTCGGACGCAACAGAGATTGTGTTGAATCGGTTGTCCACAAACTGCCTCAGTCTTTTCAGCCAATTTTAATCACCTTGTCTTGAACGGCCGTCCATAAACACACTCAAGGAAACATGACACGCACCAGCTGTTTCTGATGTGGAGATCTCAATAAACGGCTTCTACGTCTCCTGAGCTGTCTCAATACGTGGGGCTGATGGGGCCATTTTCTACACACATGCGTCCCCACCCGTTTTGGCTGTCCCCTCCGACAGCACTTTTTTGATGCGCTATTACTTCAAGTCCCGCTGCATGGGTCCAGTTCTTTTCCTCTCGGTGTGGTTTACCGGTACTCATCGCGTCCATCGGAAAATGACCAGTTCCACATGCAACATTTGCGACTCCCCTCTTGCTACCACTCCACGCGTATCTTGTTGGTAGGTGATTTCAGCGTTCCCCAAGCATCCTTGGTAGGGCTTCAGCGCATCGGAGCTGACCAAATTTGTTCAACAGAATATTTGGACTGAACACGCAGTCGCATTCACTTGATACCGTGCAGGCCAACCACTATCTACAATGGAGGAAACTTCGTTAATTAAGCCTGGCCTAAACCTCCACTAGAACCTGAGAAGATTTGGGGTCCCCTGAAAAGGAGGTCCGGAAGATAAATACGGGTCACATAGAAGACGAAATAACATTTCGTAAGTTTGGTGCCACAGTGATTTAGAAATCCGCCAATCGAACATTCGAGGACATGTTACAATAATAAACCTTCCTCAGAAAAAACAAAACGTCTTTTTCACATACATGAGACTGCCGTAGAAATCAGTCGACCGTCGTCTAATTGAGAGAGAGAAACGGGGAACCAATGGGCTACCTGGCACCTACAGACGGCACTACGTGGGTCTGTGTTCTGCCCCAGCGTCTTCAATCCATCTCATACGGGCGACTTTTAACCAACTTGACCTTCACGGAGCAGGATATTTGTCAACTCTTGCACAAGACAACCCAACACAGCGCGATGCGGCCAGATGAGGTTCATCCAAGTATTATGAAAGAGACGTCGCTTACAGTGGCTAAGCATTTCTACCTGGTGTTTTGTCAGTTCCTCGACGAAAGCAACCTTCCCTCCGCTTGGAAGGAAGCGATCGAAACCCCCGTCTACAAATCCGGTGACCGATCGTCACCTGGCAGCTACAGGATTACCGACTGCGTACCGTGCAGATTGATGGAACGAACTCCAAAGCGGACCAGTCTAAATCACCTTATTGCCGACTACTTGATGTACCTAGTTCAACACGGATCCCTCCCAATTGTTTAATGCATGACTAACATGCGCGTGTTTATGGACAGTTTACCCCGAGCTCAAGACGAGGGACTCATGTAGGATCCAATATTTTTCGACTTTTTCAAAGGCGTTTGGTCGAGTTCCATGTTCATCCAAACACTCGAGTGTTACGTAATTCAAGGGGAACTCCTACGCTGAACTGAGGCGTTCCTATAAGACGAAACATTCCAAGTGAAGGAAGACTCGACCTACTCTTCTCCGAGGCCGGTCTCCGTTGGATTTCCTCTTCTGACCTCCAGCGACCTTCTCGATGTTCTTTCAAGTCCATGTCTAATTTATGCGGGAGACTTGGAATTCTGGGGTTCAAATGCCAATGTCCCCAGATGGATATAGACATTGAAAAGCAGTGGTCAGTGGACTGGTACCCCCCGGAGTGAGAATTTACCTCCGTATATCATTCGAAGGAGGCTCAGGGAGCGCCTTCGTCGTGCCTGGTGTGAATGGACCAGGAGATATTACGAGGAAGGATGGCTCTATCAAGCATGTCCTTCCCGCTTATCATGAGGAATCGGCCGAAAAGGCATTCACGGTCCTAGGAGTGATTCGACGCACCTCCTGTATTACTCACGCGGATTTCCAAATACCCTATGCAGCCTTCGTCAGACCGCTTCTTGAATATGTCAACCAAGTTGTCTATTCAGGACACCAGGTAGACCTAACACTAACTGAGCGTGTCCAACCTGACGCTACGAATTTGGTGGCGGGCCTCAAATCCGTGGACTATGAAACACGTCTCACGGTATCCGACCTATTTTCCACGTCGCCTCCGACGAGATCTAATACTTACTTATGCCCCGTCTGAGCAAGTTGTGGGCAACAGATTTTTCACCATTTACCAATCTAACACACGACGGGGACATGGTAAGAAGAATTTCGAGCTCAGACCGCACACCTTTATTAGGTTACGATTTTTATAATTTCAAACAGCTGGTGCTTGTATTAGCCTTCTTCAAACAATTGTTCATCTAATAACCAGTTTAAATCACTCGTAAACGCCTTTTTGTTGAGTAATTTTGCTGGTAATATCACTGTCAGACTGTCAGATTAAAGAGCAGTGCTATACTCTTTTTCCGCGGGTACCTTCCAGTTAAATGGGAGCCACTGAACGACGAAAGCTAACTCGAACCGGGAAGCTTGGGCAAGATCCTCGTACCTATGTATCAGTCCTTGAATCTGTGTAAAACTTCATCAACTGTTTATCCATCCAGTTTTCACTGATTTCAAGGACATAAAAACAGCGCTAATATGTTTGACCTCCAAAAGATATCGCGGACTACGGATCTCCCGAGAATATTCCAGTGTCCTTCAACTAAGAAAGGTTGTATACGAATACGTTGACATTTAATTGTCTTATTTTTATTCTTGCGACCTATCTCAATGGGGATCCTCACAATAAACTGACAGTGTCTTTTAATTAATGTGACATGCAATCCAAATGCGAAATGGCTTAATGGGTCTATATCTGCACCGAATGAGGTAACGAAAAAACTGATGTAATGGGAGGATAGCACTTTCTTGGACGTGATTATACTCACCACTCTTAATGCCAGAACGCGTTGCGCCTACTGACGGCCGATTTGTTCTGAACATCAGAAGTTCAGTGTGGTGGTAATGATAGCGTTAGGCGAGACGGTCCTATTTCACCTTTCCTTGTCGACGTCAGCACTGATATGATCATGGAACACTCACACTCAACCTGTAGTGCTGGTGCGGTCGAAGTGCTCAAGAGAAATTTACTCACAGCAGACGGCATGCCTAGCCATGGATCTGATGCCACTGTACTCCAGGCAAAATTGAATAATGTAAATAATTCTGCCATATGGTTTGGCATGCGCTTCTCTTCTGATAGATTTGGTAGGCTTGAAACATAACATCCTGCTTGTGAATGAACCTGGCAAGATAGTAGACAAATTTGTTCACCTAGAGAGCTGTGTCAGTCCAGGTGGTTCAACCAAAGATGATGCTTCTATCTAGATTGAGAAAGCTGGAGCAGCTTTGGTGACCATGTATCTTCTATGGCGTAGGCATGACAGAAACTTCTCCATCAAGGACCGAGTTTTTAATGCTGCGGTTTGTTCCGCATTACCATATGGGCCATAATCATGGCAGATATGCGCCAAGGACGCAAACAACGTTTAGTTTTTGACCAATGATGTCATTAGAGCATAGTTTGAGTCTGGTGGGGACAACGGAACAGTAATGTTGAAGTAGGTCAAGCTTTTTTTCGGAGGAACAACTCGCCCACAGTAAGTGAACCGATCACGTTCCATGGGTTGTGTTGGATTGGTCATATGCTTTGTTTGCCATCGAAAAAGGTAATATTATAAGTGAAAATGCTTTCTTGATTGTGAAGACACAACTTGCTTGCCGAACCACCAAGCGTAATGCTTTGGTGCACAACGCGAGCGCAACTAGCGTAGTTGTGCTTCGTTTGTACTGTTTGAGTGTTTTCCAGGTACACAAATGCATAAGTGACCAATGATATCTTGGTGTTAAGGCCATCAATATTCACGAAGCTTGCAAAAAGTTCCTGCCATGTATTTGTAAGTAATCTCAAAGTTACTTCAGCCCCTTCGGAGGGTACCATTTGATAGCAGCCGTCAACATGCGGGTTCAATTTCTAGTGCTCTATCCTAAGGAGTTCAAACTTTATGGGTGCTCCAAGTAAAAACTCGGTCAATGGAACAAAAAACAATATGCGTACCATTTAATCGGAAATTTTCTTAAATACATGAGTTGTTAGATTGTACTTCTCTACAAACTTCATTTCGCAGAATGGTGCGCGTAAAGTGATATAACTGATAGAATGCAGGATGGCGGCGTGGTGAGAAGAAGGCGGTTGTTGCTATCTATTTGAGGGATGCGTTTTTTACTTCCACTTTTCACTAAAGGTGGATCTAATCATGGAACACTGTGTGCCAGCAAGAGACCAACCAGACTATCTGTGTAAGTCTTTTTCAGCTTTTTTCTGATATGCTTTTAGACAAAAATTTAGTGAGTTTGAAAACTGTGGGAGACTAAAGCGTGCAAATATTAGTAACTTTTGCAAGAAGTAAAACCTTTGAGATTCGCGGCAGCTACAGGACCGTGTGTCCATTGCTAACAGCCTCTGAAACGCTAAAGGAAAACAGCTGAAATATTTATTCCTTATACTTTCGTGGCTCGTCAGATTCGGCTAGGTGGGCATTTTTTGATAGAACATGTTTGATAAAGTGCCAAACAATGTCAATGTGTAATTTAAGCGATGTTTTGGATTTACTCTCTGTCGCAGAGTGATGATAAAAATAGGGTACCTAAAAGACTGCCAATTCAAGTGTAAAGAGGTAGCTATTGCGTTCCTAAACTCTGAGAATCTGGTCCAGTTAGAGGGCGGCCTCTCATTTAGGCTACGGTTAATAAATAAATTGGTCGGTCGGATCAGGATGCGTTAAATGTGTTCACACACACAATGAGAACCGCTCAACGATTTTGCCATTTATTAATTATTTCAAAGTTGTTTCACCATCTACTGTAAAGGGCACCAAATTACTGTATAAAATACGAAAAAACTCCAGTTATACAATGTGTGCATCACGGTGTGTGGAGCGAGCACCGATAACCGATTGCAAATCGACAAAACGTTATTAGCGGTCTGTAGTTCTGCTGCGGTAGGTGTTACTTGGATTACATGAAGTGTAAATTCTCAGGGTTAATGAAACTTTCATTTTAAACCGGTCACCCGAGAAGCCGGTCAGTATGTGGCTACGTGACAGTTTCTGCACATGTGGGTAACGTTATATCCCATCTGAGTATGAGTTAGGCACAGTCCTCATCAGCCGACGGCGGCTACCAACTGAGAGACTGCAATTTCGAACTTCCTTAGACTTTTGTGAGATACGCTGCCAATGATGAAACATCTGTGCAGCAGCATACATTAGCTTCACTTTCAGGAAGAAATACAGGCTGAGTGTTTTCGCAGGAATTACTTTCTACGCTGTGTTTGTACTATTTTAGTGCGACTGCCTTGCACAGTTTTTTCTGGACCGACTTGAGGTGCTGTCTAATACAACAGAACGACATATTTCACGAGTGTTTTGGTGTTGTCCTGGTTGTGGCCAGTATTTTGATTTCCACTCATGACATTGGTGATTCCACCTTTGGCAAAGGTATTGGTATTTTAGATTAATGTCACTTTGAAGCATTTACGACCCGTGATTAAACGGGTGGGTAAGGAGTCATTGCAACAAGTTGACTATCCCATTTGGGAACTCCTAAAAGCCGAGAAGCTCCGACAAGCTAGCTCGCTAGAACTTGTAGCATCCGAAGTAAGTTGCAATAGGTTAACCCGGGACTTCTAGAATTTCACAGGCCGCGCGGTTTTGGAATGTATTTCATCATGCTTGACCAACAAATACACTGAGGGCTATCCATTTATCAGGTGAGTCCAAATGTTTCTGCACAACAGTGAGCACATCTTCCGTATTCATGAAATATTGTAGCGACATCATAAGCACTGGATGATCCTAATAGGGCTACAGGCGGTTGTCAAGAGTTCGATGTTTCAAAAGTTGTGTTGAACTAAATAGACGTAGACCTCAAAAGGTCTTATATACATGTAAAATATATACATTTCTATATACGTACATGTATACGCCGGATCCCAAGTAGTATAACGAAAACTGTCACAGAGTGTCTGTCATCTCTTACGAAATACACCTTGACAGTACTTACTATGTGACGCCGTGGATTGCATTTTTCGGCAGACTCAGTATATTTGGCCTCTCAGATGAAAGATGACAGCTGTCGGATAACATTATTTCTTTAGACGCAGATTACAAAACCATACCATTCGGGTTCATGATAGCGTTTGGCCTTGATTGATTGGATAAATATCAGCTGAGGAAGTCTATTTCTTTTAAGAAGGCAAATAAAGCAATTACGTGAGACTTCTTACTTGTTGACTTTGCCACAACCTTTCTATTCAATTATAATATATTTCTCATCCACAGTCGAGCAGCCGTACTTGACCTCATGGGTTGGTACCTTCAGCAGAGTTTCGGATTGGTTGAGTTGAACAAGCGAGTACTCAGTTCATTTTGTGTAATGTGTTACCAAGTGTACTCATTCGCCATAATTTCCCTGCTTTCACCCATCTCAGAACATATGTAGCCTACAATTTATTGAAAAAAATCGGTCGTACTAGTAGTCGGATCTATGGTTTTTGTTTGTTGACAAAGATATGGATAAATTTTTGGTTGTTAAGGTATAACACCCTTTTGGAGCTTAGCTGCTTTTCCCCCAAAGGGAGCATGGCAGATGAGGTGCTGTCGGGTCACTTATTCATGGATAGGGCAGTTGAGGTGCAGGTCTTGAACCATAAAGCTTTCAGTCAGTAAGTGTTTTCCCCAACGACGGAACACACTTGAGCATGAGAAAGATAAAACAGGTTGTGAGTTGGTAATTTCCACGTTTTCCGCCAGTGTACAAATTTGCGGTTCACGGATATATCATCTCCTCTTGAAGATCGACAACGTACACTTGGATGAACAATATTCAACCTTGCTTGACTGAGTTGGAGCACGTTGCCTGGCGCGTCTAATACTATTTCGCGTACATCCGAAGGATGAACACCACAGTCACATGAATTGTTATCCCTGTATTTTGTCTGTGGATGTTTCGGCTAAGAATAGTTTATGGGAAGAAAACAAAGTACAACTGAGTTGAAGTTTTATTACAGAATAATAGCACAAACATTCAGTAGACATTTTGCCGGGCGTACAACACTGCGCTTGAACAGAAGGCTGCAGCGTAGAATAGGTTTTCGGAGGAAGATGGGAAATCCGCATTAGATAAAAGAGTTTATGTCGTAGACATTAATATTGGCACCAGATTAATTTATTGTTTTTTCGCCGGTTTAATGTTCCACAGTCGAATGGATCTTGGAACATTTAAATTACTTTATTTAATCGTGAATTTGAAAACTTTCAGTAAACGAATATGAACGTCTGTCCCCACCTTTTTCAAAATGTAGCTAGTTCGCGTTTGCCAATCACCTCAACCCAGTATAGTTTATTTCGCACTAAAAACACCGACACGTTCTTCTATCGGGATCCACAGTTCACAAGTTGCAGAACGTTTCTGAAAACAGCGTGAGCTTCCTTCCTTCATTCTCATAATTGGAGCAATCGAAAAATCAATTCTTCAGAAATTATTTACTGTTCATGTTACCCAATAAGGACATTTTACTAAGGGTAGTGAGACTAGTATCTGCCTGCCACATCGTCAGTAATAAGCTCCAATCGATTCACAGGCAAACGTTTATCGCTATGCGTTCAGCACCCTCCTGATGCAAGAATCTGCCGCACATATGGACCAAGGACTAAGTGGTAGCACCTGCATTATGGTAAGCAGCCATAAGTGCAGGATGTTATTTTTTGTTGCTTTGGCATCATTAATCCCTGTGATGTAATCCGTATCATGGTCCATAAGAATCCATGTTCAAGATAAGCAACCTTCCCTCTCATGCTTCCGTTTTTACTCAAAAAATATCTGCTTTACCCGTTGGTATCTATTTTGTCCTATTTAAGTTGGGGAAAAACAAGTTGGGTTTAAGAGAACTAACCACTCATTTTGTGGACAATCATACCGCTTGAAACGATGATGAATAAATTTAGTATCCATCTATGCCACGTCGGTTGAACGATCGATAAGAATACATGGTTGACCAATCACGACAATGGGAATGCAATAGTTCCGCACGTAAAGGTAGTAGATTGCCTCTCAACCAAAAAATGGGGATGCAACCACTAATTCATAGTTACGTCCTGGCCGCTGGTGATTAATAACAATGGTGACTGAATACTGACTAAATAATTTTGAAGGAACCACAGGCGGGTGGCTCCTTTGTAAATAATTCAAGGAGGGATATATCCCTCCTTGGTTATAACCATGCGAATCAGTTTACATGACCGTGGAATATCGCAAGACAGGTGGGTCGAGGGCAACTCGGTGAAAGCTACGTACGATATGGGTTGCATGAATATGAATATTATATGGTAAGAGGCTTTCGGCCAGGTAATAAAGGCGTCCACAAGATGCGTATTCAGCCTAAAAGCCCGAAAAATACATTTCACAATGTGTGGCGATATTCAGTGTGTTATCCATATGCATAGAATCCGACGCAAGTGGTGCGATGAGCCTGTGTATCTGTTGTGTTCGAATTCTTTCAGAGGTGAATGTTTGAAGCTGGGAATTGTAAGTTCATCTGTGGAATTCTTTGACAAGTTAATTTGAAAGGAAACTCTCTAAAGTCTTCTAAAGTCTTTGCAACCATTGGCCGCAAAGTTCTTTTTCGCCAAAGTGGTCCAATCGAACGCTGAGAGATGGAAGCACAAATTTCGATATCGAGACCCTGAAAAATGAATATCAGCTATGATGAAAAGCGAATCTGACGATCTGACTTTTTGTCACAAAAGAATCACACACAGTAATCGTACAATACCAATTGCGGTGGTGCAACGTTTACGGTCCATTTCTGATTCCCCTCTGGCTAAAATTCCGATGCAATGACATATGCCTAACTATCAAAGGTCGAGGAATCCGATTCTTTGCCATAGACACCCTCCAGCGAAAAGAAACATATTTTGGAAACCATGTAACCACCTAGACGAATGGACCGTGACACCAGAACCAAGTTAACAAATATCCGTATTTAGTTCACTACATTTCTAACGGCTGTTGTGAAATTCAGTTCAGATTTCTCCGAATGTTAGTTGCGTGGATTCCACAGTGTCATCATCATCATCATTGTCAGCTGTAATAGCCGCGTAGTCGTCTTACAGTGCCTGTAGCTGCCGCAGTTTCGTTCACCGATGGTTTGGGGGGAGGGGTAGGTAGCTGCGCGTTGCAGGCGGGAGCTGATAAATTGGTGCATAAACCTAGCACTGTCAGTGGGCCGTCCAGTGGGGGGTGGAAATGGAGCTAAGCATCGAAGGCAATAGCTTTGATGCACGAGCGCCACTGAGGGCGCGACTGGGCCATATCTGAAAATGTCTCCAGCCATTGATGTGGCCCGTCTCGGGGTCCCCATCAAGGAAGACGGCAGTGACCAGCGCAGCTGAGTTTGCTGGTAATAGCATTCATACTTCGCTGCCAAGTCATTGTTTGACCGCCTCTGGCTCTTTTCCACCCTTCACGTGGTTGTGCAAAAAGAGCCCTTCGAGGAAGTCGGTCGACCAGCATATGTCTACTACCTTAATCGGTTCATCCACAAGCATGAGGCTATCTACTACCTCGGTTCATCCACAAGCATGAGGCTAGGGTTCGATCCCACCCAATCTTGCAGTGGCACTTTACACTTTGCAGGTGTGAAGCAAGCACCAAACCGCCAGGTAGAATTATTTAGATTATTTAATATTGCTTGCATTACCACGGGATAAGATCCCAGAAGGGCTATGTCATCTGCGTACTCGATATATGTGAGCGGAGGCCCAGGGAGCACTTCGGCTCCACGGGCATTAGAGGCTGGTAGTGCGTCTTCCATGATCGTATCAATGACGAAGCTGAAGAGGAAAGGTGAAAGAGGACAACCCTGTCGGACACCACTTGATGTGGTGAACTCAGGAGAGAGCTTCCCGTAGACCTTTACACGGCCGCGGGAGTTGGCGTACAGCGCCTTAATGAG